CCAGGGAACATATACCTGGAGTCAAGGCAGGATAGGACAACCTGGTACCTTCTAGATGTTTTGGACTATACTCTTTTTAGACCTCTACAGTTGGCTCCGTTGGCTGGTCTGAAGGGAACTGAAGTCTTAAACATTTGAAGGACACCAAGTTGCCTAATTCTGGATCAAGACTTTGCAGACTCCAGTAGGACCTAATGGCCTTGAGCCACACGCCTTATTTTGCACAAGCAGGGGTTTGGGGTCCTGAAAACTTTGTGTGAAACAATCTTCATATATTTCTTGATGCATGACAGGAAACATGAGATGGAGCAAGAGGGCGATGCTGGAGAGGCCATTCTCCTATTTTTGAATTAAAACGTTATCCATCTCCTTGTCTTTGCACCTAACGGTATCACCATAAAATTAGTTGTCTGCATTGCATAAGATGTGGTTCCCAACTAAATAGTGTTGTCGTGATTTGTGTGTGCCACTTATAATACACAGTTAATTGGTTTTTGCTTCTGGTTTTGCTGCCGACCCACTTCGGCATATTACCAGCCAGCAAGAAAAACATCCAACCACCAAGGCACGGAAGCACTCATGGGGTTGGGTTGGTGCCACTATGTAATTCTAGGACGCTACTCTTCTGGCAGTCTGCCCCTCCTCCACACCCCACTTGGGCATTTGATAGTGTCAAAATAATGTGAAACATACAGGAAGACGGCTCTTGATAATAACATTGTGTCTGCAAAAAAATACTGAACAATATCAGATTCTAATGCAGACAGTGCAGAGATACATGAGAAACACCCAGAAATAATCTCAGAAAGGAAGGAGGCAGCCTTTGCCTGAATAGTGCAGTTACACAGGTCCTCTTATAGTTGCCACACTGAAATCAATTAAACACTTGCAGGGAGAGGAAGTGTTTGAAACCAATAAATACAAGAAAACTGGCAAAGCATCAACAAAAGTCCGGTTATGCCATAATATTTTCTTGCCACTGCAAAATATAAAAGTGCTGCTGTTATGTCTAAAGTTAAAGTCTCTCCACTGATTCCATTCGAGTTGTGCAAAGACAAAGTTGTATAAATACACCTTGTTTCCAAAATAAAAGATTTGAGGTCTCCTCTCTTCCAAATCTCTGGTTGGAAGGCTAGAGTTGATTTCAAAAAAAGAAGTGTGTGTGTGGGGGGAAGAGATAATTGCATGAAAGGATTCAAGAAATAAAACTAATGGAGAAGCCAACTGCTGGGAAATAATTTGGTTGCAACAGAGGCTGCCTAATGTCTAGAGGGAAGAAAATGTGTCCTCCCTCCCAACACACTTGAATATACTTAACTTCTAGTACAAATACATATCAAGACATGTCAAAAACCTCAAATAAATTCCAGCAAAATGGATGCAGGCAGACTAAAACCACATAGGATGAAGACAGCACTCCCTCTTCCTGTCACTTCCATATGTATTATGATTTGAATCACATGAGAATACCTTAGCTCACTTGCCAGGCTGATCACTATACCTAACTATTAACCATGCAAATGCCTCTACACATGAGTAAGCAGCATGGGCTAGTGATAGCATAGTGGGAGCCATATACTCAATGATAACATATGCATAATGCTAGTATGCATAATCTCTTTAGCATGTACCAATCTATTCATCCTTGTATTACTTTAATAAATATTTTATAATTTGACAGGAAGTTAAGTGTGTCCTGAATTTAAAGTATCTTCACCTAAGGAGACGTGAATGTAAAGCAGGCTGATTTCCCAAACCAGGAGATTTTATTCAGTTTGGCTTATAATCCTAAAAGTTTCCCTTTCTCGGGAGTAAGGGAAAGCAATGATGAGAGCTTATCTTTAGTTGTTCAAATCCCTTGCTCACTCGTCTTCCTTAAGCATATTTAGTATAACTGTGAAGCCTTAACATAATGGTTTATAAAAAGACATGAAGTAAACCAAATTAAGTTTAAGTTTTTATAACTGAGTTTTCTTAAAAGTTGGCACATTACAAAAAGAGTCTACCACATTTATTTAGACACGCAAAGGGTTAAACAAATTAGGAACTATAGAATATAATGTTTGATGTTTATGGCAAGTTATACACATAAGATGGCTAATATCTGTCAACCTTGTTTTGTTTCCTAATTCATTTGTTACAAATAACCATATGAAATTTTATTTCAAATTCATAAAATAAAAGTTAAAACTGGTAAACACTTTAAATCAAACTTGCTTTAAACCCATTGTCTGCTTCCCCACAGATCATTTTATTCCTGTTGCATTTAATAAACATAAAATCAACACTTTTAAAAATACCCCATACATTATATCTTGATTATATTCAATGACTTTTTGGAATGTAAATGTAGTCTAGTATGCATAAAGATCTAAACAATTCATTGTGAGAGCCAAGTCTCTTATTTCTCAAGAAAACTTTTAAGTGATATTTAGCCAGTGGTATCTCTTGATTTTACTGAACCATGAGAAAATTAGTAAAGAAAAGAGGAGGAACTCAAACATAGGTCAGAATAACTTTGGTAGCTGTCTGAGCTGTTTTACATCCAGAAAAGTGCCCACCGAATTAATATTGTTTGCTTGGTTTAAAGTATCAACAGTGGGAGCTTGTGGAGTTTCAGTCACAATGTGAACATTTAGATTTTCTTTGTCCGGATGCTGTGTAAATTCTGCATCTCCAGGTAAAAGTTTAATTTTTGGCTTTAAATCCTTTAAAAAAGGTGGTGAACTTTCATTAGATTGGTGCAGGATTCTGGGTGGAAAAACAGCATTTGTAACATTTCTTAAGATGGGCCCTTCTGAATGTGACAGGCGACAAGATGATTCAGTTTCACAGTGTATTGGGTCAAAAGCAATCTGCTTCTCACCAGTTCTTTCAGAAGCAAAGCCCTCTATAACAGGGTTGAAATCCAAGCGCAGAGCAGGCTCTAAGCGCTCTTTTCTCCTGGAGTTCTCAGTCGGTTGCTCCTCTTCTTCATCACTACCATCACTGCTTTGTAAGAGGCCATACTTCCTCATATACCTCTTGGTTGCAAAAGACATATTGCCAGGGGAAATTAAACCAAGGCCCACCAAAGACTTCTCTGTATTTGTATGCAGCAGAGTCTGTAAAGATGAAGTCACAGAACTTTTGTGGCTCGAGTGATTTAAAGAAAGCTGTGACAGTTGATTTTCATTCAGGTACTTGAGAGCAATAGCATTTGCCTCCATGCTCAGATCTGCTCCAGTGGGAGTTAAGCCACTCATACCAACATTGGCAAAAGAGATGTAGTTTAGTCCTGGGACTATTGCTTCAGGATTAATACAAGCCAATACACTAGAAAAGAAAAAAAGTCTTCAAAAATTCTGAACGTAAGACCAATTAATTCAATTTATTAATAACCAGCTGATCATAAAATGAATATATTACAAAACTGTCATCTGCTTTGGTATGCATGTAGCCTCCTAATTTGTCTACTTTAATCTCTCTCTCTCACACACACACAGACACACACACAAACAGAGTCAATCCCATACTGTCAGAGAAATTTATAAAGTGGTTAGCCTTAGTGGGGCTGTTTGTCTCTCTCTTAGGGGAATTTATATGTAGATGGTCTGATTTGCATGTATGGGAGCAGCCTTTTTATTCTGTCCAAAAGAATACTCTCCTGTCTATAAGAAAACCATCTTGATTTGTTATGTGAGGAAAAAAAGTTAATAAAGCACTATATTCAGTGCAAGACATGATTGGAATGAGAATGTATTTCTCCAGAATATTATCTCACACTACCAAGGTAGGTAGCACTGACAAACATCTGGCCTTGTAATTCCAAAAATCAGTGCTTTTTAAGCAGTTCCATACATCCTGTGCAAAAGGAGAATTTATCTTAATAGTAACTCTGATCTCTAGATAGCTATCTGCAAAAGACAACTGTTAAAGGTATTCCAGATTTTTTGGCAGACATAGATGCATGAATAGCTAATCATTGTGGGTTTAATAAATATTAAATTATTGCAAATCTGTGATGGAGATAAGATTAGTTTTTCATATATGTAGGCCAGATTTGTACAGACAAGGCTGTAGCAAAGAAATCAGAAACTTAGTTTTCATTTTCATTTCAAATTCACAATGATTTAATATTGCATCCAAATCCTGAAGTGGAAATAATTTTAATGTTGGTTAGTGAAAACCAAATTTCAATCAATGAAGGCTGAAGACAATAAATAACAATGATTCAAAGTTTCTACTAATAGTCAAGGTTATCCAGCATTTGTTCTAGTTCAGATATAACAAACTTCTGTTCAAGAAAAAACACTGTAAAAAATAATTCTGAAAAAATGTTACCAAACTGAGAGGAGCAAGAAGTTCTGCCTCACCCCATGCACTGAGATTTCCCCTTTCCCTCTAGATGACAAGACCCCATGACATCTTTCCCACACCCTCAGTCCTGCTCCATAGTACAGTAGCAATTTCTGTTTCTTTACCACAAGCAAGAGTGTCCGTGGGGGTGGGGGTATCATGTCTGCCAAAATGGTGGGTACAACTGGGCAGTTGAAGCCCTGCCCCCTTTAAATGTGCATAGCACACACTGCACATAAAAGGGGTGGGGCTACAATTATCCCAGTTGCGCCCATGATTTTTATGCTGTGGACCCCCCTCTGTGGACCCTCCCAACTACAAAACAAAGACAGCAAGATGTCAAAGAGGACAGGAAATGGTGGTGGTGGTGGTAGTAGTAATCAAGCAGAGCCTGGGTTGAATGCTTTCCCACCCACCCTCCCATGGAGGAAGGGAGTCCCTTCGCAGTGAGAAGGACATTCAAAGCTGGGTGGTGAGGGCAAGGGTTGGAGGACACAAGGGATAGCCTGAAAATAATGGCAAAAGCTTCTGAACTCTTCCTTGCTGTCATTAAGGAAAATAAGGTAATAATGTATGAGTTTGACTTGTACTGTAACTCATGCTGTTAACACAAAATAATCATTTAGTTTTATACTAAAATGTAAGCATTGATTTAGAAGGTAGCTGAGAAAAACTGCAGATATTATAGTTCCAGAAACTTAAAACTTTAATTCTGGCTTCACAGTTCAGAAAATAAATCCCAGTGTATATTCTGAAATGTAAATGAAATAATGCATTACTTATTTTTCTCCAGTGTTCTGGAGAAACTGACAAGGTGTTGTTCCCATGTAACAGATTACTGACTACTCATTCTTCACTAGGGAAGCTTAAAACACTGCTTAATGCAGACCCTGATCTAAATTATAAGGAAGACCATCTGCAGTATAGCTGGAGGATAATAATGCATGGAAGCAGGGGCGTCTGCAAGATGTGGTCAAAACGTCATTTACTGAATTGTGGGTTCTATGCAGCTCAGAGTTGCACTGACTGAGGAACTATGTAAAACCTAGCAATAAATAGAAATCAATACATTTCCATTACCCGGCATTCTCCACTTTGTGTACATTGTTCATCTTCTCAGGAGAATCAAAATTTACTCCAAGGTTTCTTAATTGCTTCAAGGTTGCATTCAGAACACTATCTTTATCTCGTAGGACCATGTCTGATGCTGAGCCTCTTCTTTGCGCTTTGTTTATTTTTAAGGATGTAGTACATTCATCTCTGATCAGATCCTCTTTCAGAGAGGGACCACTTTCATCAGAAGATTCCCTCAAAAATCGATTTACTTGACCCTATAGAAACATTAGAAAGAACATAAAAGTGGGTGAAGAAAATTACAGGATGCCATCTCCATAGGAATTCACAGCATGCTGACAATGTATTACGTCACCATAAGCATACCTGTAAGCGTTTTATTTCTAGCTCTCAAATCACAGATGCACAACTAATGTCATTAGTTTACAGCTGCACAGATTTTAGTATCAGTCTTTAGAATGTTAGGAAAAATAATCTGCTCAGGTTTACATTTGAAATATCATAATTTATTTAATTTTAAGTAATCATGCAACCTTTACTATTTTGCCCCACACTACTTTAATTAAAAAATTGTGTAAGCAGTGGAATGCAGTCCTGGAATATTAACAATATACTGGATAGATCCTATTGAGCATTTTAAGGAAAACATGGAAATTCAAGATGCATAGATAGTAAAGGCTTTGCTTTTTTAAAAAAAATCAGAAACAAATTGATTTATTGGGTGAGTACTATTAAGACACTTAAATTAAATAAAGTTATACTGAAAAAAACAAGCATGAAAACTTACTAATATATCCTGATAAATTTTTTGATCATCTGGTGACACATTTGCTGGGGCAGTAATGCCACACTCAAAATTTTGTTCATCAGTTGGTTCCAAATTATTGTCAGTTCCTTCTGAAGGCCTTGTTTGCAAACATTTGTTACCATTTTCATTCTGCCGTGAAGCCTGGTCCGTTCCAGTGTCAAGTGGTCCATTACTATTAGCAAAAACAGTCATGATTTGAATTAAACTATCAGTACATTTATCATTGTAGCAGAATTTACATCTTAAACTAGGCCTCGTATATTCCTAATTCTTTAAGATTATCATCAAACTCAAGTTTCAGAAAAACAAATATTGCGTTTTTAGGTTGGAAATGACTTAGGTGTTTATCTTCATTTAATGCAAGTAGTAAGTTCACAGTCAGGACAAGAAGGTAACAAGTAGTATCCTCTTCAGTATATTACTTGAACATAGAAAAGATTTTCCTACTACCAAAATAAATAAGGATTTAATAACATTTTCTGTTGAATACTCTACGAGGAACTACAAGTGTCATTCAAACAGTCAATTGTTTAAATCCAAGTTTTCTTCTGGGGTGCATCTAGGGCTCATTTTGATTATCGGTGCATGAAAAATATATTTTTAATTGCTCTCATCTTACAGATAATTCTATTTTATGTATTATTCCTGGCCAGTGCAAGGAACATGGATGGACGGCTCCTTGCATACCAAGTTCCAGTTTCAATGCCTGAACAAAGTGTACAGATTGCATCTATTAGTGATTAACTGAATACAAGTTGAAGCTTCCAAGAAACAGAGACCAGAAACTAGAGCATTCACAATCATACAAAGGATTAATGTGAGTAAACCCACTCATTATCAACAGATCATGGTACCAAAGATGTGGCTGGCATGCATGAGATGAAATGCTTAAATTGTGTTCCCTCACATTTTTCACGTTTA